CGGGGTTGCGAGGCTGCGTGACCCAGACGCCCGGTCCCTGGCTGGCGCTGCCGGGAGGCCTCGGGGCGGGAACCGGCTGCCGACCTCTCTCTGGTCTTCTTTTCCTCCTCTTGCGCCTCCTATCCCTGCTCATCATCACCACCGTCCTCCTCTTCCCCTCCTCTTCTGCACTCCAGCGCGAATTCCTGTCTTTGCCATCCAGGGTCGCCATGGGGCCCGATCCTGAGCTGCAGGCAGTTGCCTGGGGTGTTACCGTGCTTGAGGTATCTGTCCACATCTTTTGTCGCTTATTTGCTTGCTCGTTTTCTTGCTTAGAGTGCTCTGCACGTATGTACTGGACGGCAGGACTCTCTGGTGTGCGCTTTGCAAGTTCCTCCCAGCCGTGCTGTCTCTGACGGCACCCTTCGCAGAGCAGAAGGGTTCGTGTAGCAGCAGCCAGCTGTCCAGCTTTTCTGTGACCAAAGCTGTGCTCATAGAAATACTGACAGCCTTAGCAGTTTTGCTAATAACCGAAAAGTAGTCATGAATCTCACACCTTGACAACTGGCTGTTTAGTTAGTCTGGGAGTTGGGTAGTCAGTCCTTCAACTCTGCCCTTTTTCTTCATGAATTTGTTGGCTGTTCTCAATCTTTAATCTTTCCATAGAAATTTTAGGATCCGTTTGTCTGTATTAAACAAATAACTTGCAGGGATTCCAGTTGACTTCAATAAATCTATAGACCAGTTTGGAAATAAATTATATTTTAGTATTTAGTCTTCCGGTTCATGAACAGAATTTTTTTTTTTTTTTGGGATTTTTGAGACAGGGTCTCACTATGTAGTTGAGACTGACCTGGAACTCACTACATAGCCCAGGTTGGTCTCGAACTCACAGCAATCCTCCTGCCTCAGTCTCCCAAGTGCTGGGATTACAGGCGTGCGCCACTGCACCCAGCTCAGAATCTTTTTAATTTAGATATTATCTGGCTTTTTAGTTTTATAGTCTTTTTTATATAGATCATGTACATAATTTTGAGTTAATACCAGTGTATTTGGTGCTAATGTAAATAGTGTTTTTATGGTTTATAGGTAGACAATTGACATGTTAATTTCACATCCTACAGCCTTGCAATAATCACTGATGATCGTTATTCTTTGCTGGTAACTTGAGATACTGTACATAGAGATGTACACCGTTTGCAAACAGCCTTATTTCTTCCTTCCCAGCCTGTGTATCTGCCTCTTCATTTGCTCCCGTTCGTGTTCCTTAGGACTTTGAGTACAGTGTTCAGCTTGCCGTGACAATTTCATCTCAGAGTTGAAGGACAAAGAAAGAATTCTTTTGTTCTTTCAACAGTTATTACCTGTCAGTCCTCTGTCAAGAAAAGCTTTCTTTTGGTTTTTACAAACTACATTTCCTACATAAAAGGAGAAATGCAATGCTTTTGTTTTTGTTTTTTGAGGCAGGGCCTCTCTTTGTAGTTCAGGCTGGCTCTGAACTATGTAGCCCAGGCTGGCCTTGAACTCAAACAGTCCTCCTGCCTTGGCCTCCCAAGTGCTGGGATTTCAGGTGTGCGCCACCATGCCTGGCTGATATTTTGTTTTTTTGGTACCTGTAAGACAAGCGCAGTGCCACTGAGCTAAATCCCCCAGCTTTTTTTTTTTTTCCTTTGCAGTACCGGCATTTGAACTCAGGACCTTGCACTTGCCAGCCACTGAGCCACATTCCCCAGCCCACTAACGCCCTCTTTATGCTGGTTTCTATACCTTTTAGACAGAACTTCATCAATCTTTAAATACTTCTTGCTTTCTGACACTCAGATCTCAAACTCACTCTTCTCTTTTCCACACCTACAATCAGTCACATACATTCCAAGACACCAGGATCCTTTCCGTGAGGAAGAATATTTAGGAACAGTTATCTTGGTGCCAAACATGTTCCTTGCCATTGCTTACCTTTACTTCTAGGCCCCCTTATTACATATTGCTGAGAAATGTTTGAAGAATTGTGAATTCAGACTTACAAGTGCTAGGCAGTGTGAAATAAAAACAGAGCCATTCAGTATTAGCAGTACTCTTCCCAATTTACAGACATTCCCTGTTTAGTAACGGGGTTCTAGTCCTGCTGATAGGTCGCTAAAGGAATTGGTTGCTAAACGAGCAATAGTATTTAGTATGCACAACATTCAGAACAAAGAAATGGTCAAAGCAAAGTCCAATGTGATGACTTCGCTTTTATTTGCATAAGTCTTATATGTAGCAACGTATAACAACATAGACCTACAGTACTGTACAATATAATCAGCAAAAATTAGTGTTCTGTACAAAACAAGAAACTGAAGCTCCATAAACAAGATGTACAGAATTATACCCCCCCAAAAAAAGATAGGGCTTGGATTTACTCAGTGGCTCCACTGCCGGCCTCAAAAGCATAAGGTCCCATGTTTGATCCCCAGTACCAAAAGTGGGGGCAGGGATTTAGCTCAGTGGTTCTGCTGCCGGCCTCACGAGCACAAGGTCCCGAGTTCAGTCCCCGGTACCAAAAAAGGAGAGAGAGAGATTTCTGTTTTTAAAAAAAGTTTAAAAAGCGGGGGTCGTAAGTCCAAGCAGCGGGGCAGGGCGTGCGGCCCCAAACAGTCGTTAAGCAGGGAGGTCACGAAGAGAGGGGCATCTGTGTAAGATTTTGTCACCGCAAACAGATGATACCGCTTCTTCCTCCCTGAGTCGGATGCCTTGTATGTTTTCTACTGCCTGACTGCTCTGGCTAGAACACGCAGTACCCTGTGGAGCAGAAATGGTGAGAGTGGGCGTCGCTCCCACGTGGGAACTCTCACAGCTGCAAACTGAGGGAGCCTCTGGTGCCTCGGTTCTTGCTGAAAAGGGGACCCGGGCCACCCGCCCCGGCCCACTCACGCCTCCCAGGTGCTCCTGCCCGTACATCACCGCACCAAGGCCACGCCCACGAAGGGGCCGTCCCTGCTTGTGGCCACCTAATGCCCCGGTAGGTACTCGGTGTCCACTGCAGCCCAGCACTATGCCAGGAGCTATGGAGGTGCACAGGGGCGCCACAGAAGTACACGGTGTAACCTGAGCTGTGGCAGACGCCACACGACGCGTGATTCTCCTGTTGTGGTTGCCACACCTCCCGGTGGTGTCATTCCCACCGCACAGAACTCTCATGCCAGAGCTCACTAGGCCCGAAGGCCCACGTTAGGCCCGCCTGCGCTCCGGCCAGGACCTCCTGCACAGCCCTTTCCTATCAAAGCTGGCAGCTTTCTGTCACTCTGCACTTGTCAGAGCAGTGTTCCTAAGTACATTGTGTTACGCTGCCTCCGCAACTCCAGAGAGGCCGAGGAAGATCCACCCGTGAGACCGTGGACTGATTTACACACACCCCGGCCGGTGGACTTCCTCCCACTCCGAGGGACGCGTGTCTCGTGGGGATATCCAACACGCTTCCCACGCTGATAGACAATCACAGTGATGGACACAGGGGGCAAACGGAGTTCTGCAGAGCATCTAGACAGTCCGTCTTGAAGAATAA